GATTACCCCTAGCCCTTCTCTCTTGGAGGTCCTAGGCAATTACACTCCCTTCTTGGTATTTACACCCTTCAAATATTTGTAGACTGTTATAGTCCCACAAATAGCAACAAGGTTGTAATGGTCATCACACAATGCAACAAAGTAGGAGCTAAGTACTCAGGCTGACATAAGAACATAAGAAAGGCCGTACCAGGTCAGACCAAAGGTCCATCTAGCCCAGTATCCTGTCAACCGACAGTGGCCAATGCCAGGTGCCCCAGAGGGAGTGAACCTAACAGGCAATGATCAAGTGATCTCTCTCCTGCCATCCATCTCCAAAGGTTCACACATTTGGTGGACTGGGTTTTAGTGACTAGTTGTTTTCTAAATGGCAAAATACTCAAAGCGACTGCATGCTCTCTCTCTCTCTCTAGTATTTAAGTGCATCCAGTCATCTTGGAGGGCATTAGGTTAACAGCCTGAGGGTGCGGCAGACTCCAAGTATATTTACATGTTCAGAGACTGTGTTTGCCCCCCTTTTTCCAAGTGAAAAGATGGTTTGTGGTTAAGACACCAGGAGTTCTGGGTTTCATTCCTGGCTTTGTCACATTTGCTATGGATCCTGGGCAAGTCCTTTAATATCTGGGACAGTTTCCCAGCTGTCCAGTTGGGATAATGACATTTCCCTACCTCTCAGTCATGCTGCAAGAACAAAAATCCTCCATGTTTGTGAAGTGCTCAGACTCTAGAGTGCCAGAGACAAGCCTAAAGAGTCGCCCACTTCTTTCTTTCCCTTAGATCTCCTGTCACTTTCTTGTTTCCCTCCACTCCACCTGGCAGCCTCCGACCCTCTTTCCTTCCCTTCCCTTCAGTCTCCCCATTTCACTTTTCTCCCTATCACCGCCCCCCTCTTCCTTCCCCACCCCCATGCAGCTGTCTCCTGTCCACCTGGCTACTTGCTACATGTTTTGCTCCTGGTAATAGGATCCCAGAACAGATGTGTATTTTCTGAATGGGTAACATCATGCAGCACAACTCCTCCTAAAGCCACGGCAGCCCCTCCTGAAATTTAGTTAGCTAATCTATGGCTAAAACTGTCACTCTGTCCTGGAAACTTTCATTCACAACACAGGTATGAGATGAGCATCAACAGTGGAAGACACTGCACGTTGCCCGGCGAACCCATCTTGACCCTGACCTAGCCGAACCATTTTTAGGAAGTTGAAGCGTAGTTCCATCTTCATGGTCCAGTCATTCTTTGGCTTCTCTGCAGAGCCTGTGATCAGAGCTAAGTAGCAGAGCTGGTCAAAATATAGAAGAAAAATCTCACTTAATTTTTTCCCCTGGTTTCTCTCAGAATTCCAAAGTTTGCCAAAGTTTCCAACTAGCTCTACTAAATTAGTATCCATTGTGATAAGAAGTCTACTTTCACAGCTAATCCAACAGCAGTATGTTGGCATGTAAAATGGAGCAGATTGTAGCTACTTTTATTTTTAGTATGGAGGGGCAGCCTGTGGAGACCTCTGGTCCCAGCATTCAGTGCTGTATCTTCATGGAGCACTGGCTGCTGAGACACACAGAGACTATGGGCATGGGCATAGTGTGATCTTATTACAAAGATCAGGTGCAGGTCACAATGTAGAACTCTAACGGGCACTCAAAACCTGGCTCTGAAGGCTCCAGTTTGGCCACAAATGCTCCAGATGAATTATTCTCTTTCTGGGACCCCACCCCAATAAATACAATTATTAGAAGCAGAGTGTTTTAGATTTGGGATATTAATGTTATTAAATTCTGCATAGGAAAACATCCTTGTTAAGAAGAGCTCTGTGGTATCACATTCTATTCATAAAGAAATAGGTAGCAGGTTTTCTAATTTCAGGTGTAGACTCAAATGATGAAAGAAAATACATAAATGTTTACTAAGCTTTTATGGATTTCACACAACCAACTTCTCCACCCTAGTGCCAGGCTAGTAATAAGTCCCTATCTGGTTACAGAACATTGTTTGCAGATTTTGTTGAAGAACTGAAGTTTCATGAGGCCAATGTTAGCTGGAAAAGGCTCCACGGAAAATGCTTGTAAGCAACAGCTTACAGGATAAAAATGCTCTCCCCAATTAACTCGGGACAGACAGGGATGATGAAACAAAAAGCTTTCTTCAATAAGGTATGGTCCACCTTCAGAAATCCTCTATCAGTACATCCTACTGTATATTTGTCTCAAGACTGTTTATTCTACTTCAGTAAGCTACAGGGAAAACAGCAATGGAAACTGATGCAAGTAGTCTCACACTTGTTGCACAAAAACCAAGTGATATTTTTCCCCAATTGGACCTCCAATGACAGACACATACCAAGGGCCAGTGATGCTACTGGGGGCGGTTCTAAAAGCAAGCAGAACTTTTCATAAGATCAAATGAAACTTGCCAGTCACACCCTGGAACCAGACAGCAACAAGAATAGAGAAAAATTAACAATGTACATTTTTTCCACCTAATAGATTACAATATCTGGAATTTTTATCTCACAGCTGGGTTACTAATCAGTGCACAGACTGGTTAATGCTTCATTATTGTAAAGGCAGTTAATGTTCACTTTGCCACTAGAATATGTCAGGATAGCTCTTCAAATCAGTATCCTAGTCAGTTTTCTCCAGAGCAAGTTGCTCAACGTTTTATTGCATTTAGAAAAGCATCAGAGAATGCTGAGCTTCTCACATTGGTCTTAAAAATTAGCTGTTTTCCTGTTCACAGAACACTGGTAAAGAGAACTAAAATGATTGTTTCTCAATGCATCATTTAAAAAGAAATCAACGCCAATAATCACAATTGTTGACCAAGTTACTGGCAGCAGGTCATTATTGGAGAAGCTGGTCTCTCCTGATGCAGAGCAGCTGAGATAGTTTCAGAAAGGGGAAAACAAACAGATGTACTATCATTTTTTATAAGCGAATACTAAAACAAATCTTCACATCACCACCTTGTTTCAGCCCTCATACTGATTACAAACCAAACCAATATCCTGCCGTTTTCATCATGAATCTAAACTGTCTTGGTGATCACCTAATTCTATGTCCATGCCTCTGTCACGTCTCACAGCTTGCACACAAATGATCTGTTCTATAGCAGACTTCATACAAAAAGAAAAAAATCAACCTCAAATGATGGAACGCTGAGTATCCTTCACTATTTGTATGGCGTGTATGGTACAATTTAAAACTGGCTTTTCAGAGTGAGGTAATAAGAGCAATACATAAATAAGAGATCTAGGAGCTGATCAAGTTTTATGGTAATTTCTTCCACTTTTAAGTACAATTTCATGTGTGAGATTTAATAGTACAAAGTGGGCACTACCACTTAAGTGCTAACCAAAGAGATGCCATTTCTTAACTAATGAAATCAATTTGATATGTGAGGTTTGAATACTAGCCCTTTAAAACACAAACACGCAAGCCAACAACAGGTTATTACTTTAACCTGTTCATTTTCCAAGACCACAGTGCAAAAAAATGCAACAGTCACTGCACAGGGGGAAGTGACTAATGGCCTGTTTGAGTCCCTCTCCCTCTCCAGCCCTCAGCAGAAAGGTACTGCAAGAGAGAGGTTTCTCCAAGCAAGATGCTCAGCTGGTGTGGGTCACTGCATGCAATGGCACGCCTCCTTGGAGCGGCTTCCCAGTGAAGCCCCTTCCCTCGATAGATGCCAAAAATCAAATCTTGGCTACTTAACGCAGCGTGTTCCACATGTTAGCTCCCAACATGTTGAGCAACCGTGTTAACGGAGATGGATAGCGCTGTCAAGCAGGAAGCTGGCTCACCAGGATGGAAACAGTGGGATACAGTGACCTTTACATTCAGAGAAAAGTGTCCCTGAAATGGCATGAAATGTTTTGAAAGAAACCCGAACTTCTTTGCTTGCTTTTATTGTTGTGTTTTGTAACAAAACTCAGTGTCGCTGTGCTTGAGTTTTGCTTGGACTCAAATCCTGGACCTCTCTCAGAAAGCAGACAGAGGAAATGAATCATTATCACACTGCCTTGAAAGAAGTTTTCTTTAGGAGCTCTACATTATTATATCCTAGTTTCCAGGACACTTAGTTTCGAACACCACTGCTGCTCACATTGAATGCAGCCGAAAGCTCCTGGCTGCCTTTTATTTCAAATTTTTTTAATAAGGAAATACTGACTAAAGCAGCTAAAAAGCCAAAATTTCCAAGTAAAACCATTCGTAGATTAGTCTAATTGTGCATTGGTTTTTCAAAAATCATGTCAAGATTGAGCTGAAAGTTACAGATTTCGCTTCCAAAAAGTAAGCATTACCATCTAGTCAATACAAGCCATTCACTTGAAATGCAGAGAGAATCATTTCAACAGGATCTTGGTTTTCAATTCTTTTCCTCAAGAGGTTTTTTTTTTTACACCTCTTCTCTACTGCCGAACAATCATCTACACAATTATAGGGTGACATTCAGCTTCACAACAGGCTTTGTAGCACTAAGTTAGGGAAGCCAAAATAGATATTGGTCTAATATTAAATAATCAGAGTAAGCTATCAGTCATAAAGAGAATCCTATTTATATTTTAGGGACAAAGTATGGTGCGGCACAACCATTTTTAAATACATAACCTGGTGTTCATGTGTCATGGCCCTGAAATGAGGGGGAAAAGATAGCTTGCACATATTGTACAATGTCATGCAGTTATACACACAGGTATACTACAGGGCTCCTCTGAATAATGTTCTTTGAGGCAGCAAGCTTGGGGCCTTACAGTAAAGAACAAAGCGAGTAATAACATTTTCTCTGATTGATCAATGCCAGTCTTTCATACTTCAGGAGGATTTATCAAATGCTTTCTAGACCAGGTAGAGAGTTTGGCGCAGTTACAAGCCCCGTGGTAAGAAATACTACTGATTTAACTGCTTGCGAGGTTTGCCACTAATTCTCTTGCACAGTGACCTCAGGAGCTATGAAAAGCTGTTCTCTTATGCCAATGAGCATGAAAAAGAATGCAGTGGAATACCTTGTGCCTGAGCTGCAGAACTGTGGGAATACCCCAGAGCCAGGAGCGCCGTCTCCACCAGCTGGCTAAAGAGGACATCTTTGCGAACCAGAACGAACTCTGCATGCTCCTCTCGATTATCGTAGTCGAGGGAGGTGTCCAACTGCTCCACCACACAAAAGACAGGAATCATCAAACCTAAGTGAGAAAAGTTTCAAAAGAATCATCAGTAATAGAGGAACAGGAACAAATAAATAATTCATTTCTGATTAAAAACGTCAGATTAATACACCTCCTGGAAGGCTCATGTTAGCAGAGATCTGCCTTTTTTCCCGGTTTTCATTAGACTGCAGAATAGTCTTTAAAGAGAAATAGTGGGTGCCTCCTCACTTGACTCATTTAAAACCTCACTAGATTACAGACCAAAGAATACAATGCAAGAACCAATCCCTAATTGGCATGGGGATGAACAGGATGCCCTAATAAGACTTTCCAGCTCTAGTTTGCTAAGGGCAGATCTTCACTACGGTGGGGGGGGGGGGAGGGGTCGATTTAAGATACGCAAATTCAGCTACGCGAATAGCATAGCTGAATTCGACATATCGGAGCCGACTTACCCCGCTGTGAGGATGGCGGCAAAATCGACCTCCGCGGCTCCCCGTCGACGGCGCTTACTCCTACCTCTGCTGGTGGAGTAAGCGCGTCGATTCGGGGATCGATTGTCGCGTCCCGACGAGACGCGATAATTCAATCCCCGAGAGATCGATTTCTACCCGCCGATTCAGGCGAGTAGTGTAGACCTAGCCTAAGATTCCATATATTTCCCTACACGCAGCCATACATGAACTGCACATTTAAATGTTGTTCCCTCTCCTCCCCACAAAATGACCACTGCAGGAGCATTAAAAGACCAAGGCTGTCTCCATGCATGGTTATGTGTTCCAGAGGGATGGGGTGTGGTCATTAATACATGTATAGACTGAAGCCACTCAGCCTTTTGCCATATTAAGAGCTACAGAAACAGACAGTAACAGGCTCATATTGTTCATGGGAAAACCCACCCTGTTAGCTGGTGCTGGCCCTGCAGAACCACTGAGGCAGATGGTTCATTAGCTCACCGTGATATAAGGCATGAGGGGATGGTGGTCTAGAGAGGATCTAGGTAGGGACTAAGCAGTCCTGGGAGAGAACCTTTAGAAGCAGCCTAGACTTGGGAGAAGGTTTGGGCAGAATTGTTTAATTTTGTTTTATTTCAAGTTCCTTTCATGACTCCTGGAAGGTTTGCATCTGCTACAAATTGTGTAGCCTGTGTCTGAAACAGACTAGGGAAGCTACCTCTCACATAACATTACCTGTAACAATGTTATCATCCTTCCTTTTCAAACTGCTGATTAGCTCTGCTACTAGAAGTTTATTAATTGGCTACATATACTTGAGTCACTGAACATGCTGGAAATCATTGTGAGGCTGGAGATGTATCTCAGCCTAAAATGGTTTAACTAGTTCCTACCTATACGGTCTTAATGAAATGAGTTCCTTTAGGTCTATTATTGTGGGGGGAAAGCTCATTCTAAAGAACAGCACTATAGCTCTCTCTCTCTAATGGCAAATAAAAGAAAAACAACTCGCTATTTTTAGGTTATGTTAAGGAGAACAATCATTGTGCTACTGTATTGCACATTCAAGCAAAATACAGGGAAAACTGCATTTCACTTTCTTAAGAAGCCAATTAATACCTCTTCGGGGTATCCACTACAGTTCGGTTCAAGCTTTAGTTAAAGATCACTGCTATACACTGACTGATGTTTGCTGGTTCTTTAGGCATTTGCTTGGGAAAAAGCTACATTCCATTTTAGAGTCACAGCCCTACATCAGACAGGAGACAGTGAAGTCAATGACAACTATAGGAGGCAAAACTAACGGACTCAAATCCTTATCAGCTGTTGGTGCAAGAGATGAAACTCATTTAAAAATAAAATGTTAAGTACACAACTCTCAATCGTTACATTAGACACTGATCAGACTCCCTTTGACGAGTATAACGGTGTTGGTTGCAATAGTAACAAGCATCAGGAATGAACCTGTCAATATCAGATTGCTGCGTTTCATTTTGTTTTAATTAAAAAATGTTTAACTGAAATAGTTTGCAGTTTGCTAATGCAACATCCATAGTCATATTGTTCCTTGTCTTATTTCTTAACTCTTGGATTCTGGTACATGGCCAAGGGTTTTGCAAGTTGAAGTAGTACAGTTTAGTCTTAATGTACTCAAGAACATGTACCATAAAGCCATCTGTGGGCTTCTTTGCCAGAAAGATGTTGTGGAGTTGATCCTGCTCCCTCTGAAGCCAGTAACAAAATTCCTATTAACTTCTATGACTCCAGGATTGAATCCTAGTTGCCTGTAAATCACACAACTAGTTCAAACAAAATTCAGTCTCTCTGTAAGTGAAAATCTTCTGTTTCTATTCAGATATGGTTTGTCATAGTACTTTCGATGCCCAATTTATCATTAGTAATGCCAACAATCTGTGGTGTAACTATTAATATGTTGTGAGACAAGTTTATGATGATTGTAGTAACAAGTGGCCAAATTCAGATGCAATGCTAATGGCTGCATAAATTACACTTTGGTAAATTAGCACAAGTGGGTGAATGCAAGCTTATAAGAGAGAGAGAGAGAGAAAGAGAGAGAGGGGTGCTGTTGCATCTTTTATCCTCCTACTGGTTGCTTTTCTTGCTACAACACTGTCTTTCCGCTCCCTTGACATATAGGTTATATTGATTCCCCATGCAATTTATACTATCATTTACATCATCTCTGCAGAAGAAGCTCTCAATTGCTGGAAGTAGAATTGCTCACAGTTTAATTGTGGGGTGGCAGGATGAACCCACAGTATTATTGCAGATTCTCTGTAATGTTCCCAAATACTGGCTTTTAAAATGGTCCTTTCCCACCATTGCTTGCTGGCAGCTCTGCTACAGAGATGGGGTTTCCAAGGACAGCATCTCTGAGCTTTGTGGCCCATCAGAAATGACAATAAGATGCTATTAGTACATTAAAAAGAATGGGGGGCAAAGGGAAAATTACCATATCCTCTACTGCTAATGGGTTTTGGTGCCTGTGGCTACAACCCCTAGAACTTTAACACCAATCCTACAGACTGGTGGTAAATCCAACTCTCCCCAGAAAATCTCATTCCAAGGAAGTACCACTTGTTTTGCCCTTTATTTAGCATTGGACAGAGTAAAGCTATCGTTTCTTCCACAGATTTATTACCTCAGACTTCCCTGTTTCCTGACAGTCAGAGAATAAATTAACAGTCTTTACTGTATATTAAAAATTAGAGAAGAAAACATTTTCGGCTGGAAGCCAATGCTACTCTCACAGACTGATATACACAACTTCTCACACCCAGGTACGTATATTACACCTTTCTCATACTCAACCCTAATACAATAGATTTAAAGTACAGCTGTGTAAATTAGTCAATGCTCTGCAACAGCCCCAGTCAGAGAATTTATAGCAATATTTACAAAGCTGGGAGCGTGAGTTTAGACATGAAGCCTTGAAGGAGTAAGGCAAAACAAGCCTTTACTCAGTTCGTTTTAACATTGCTTGGTTCTCTTCCCATTCCTGATCATCCAGAAACTACCACACACACACACACACAACAGAAAACCTCTGGTCCTAAAATTGTGTGTATTTGGTTTTCCAGATTTACAAAGGCGCTTCAGCAGGTCTTTATAGCTCATGGTGCAGGACATAAAACTATATGATTTTCACATACAGAGGTTACAAGAGGTAGACTGGAGGAGAGAGGGAATATTTTTTTCTTTCTGAAAAGGATAAATGCAATGCCAGAATATACAAAGGCATTCATATTAAGCTGCTTCATTTTTTTTGTTAATTTATTTAAATACAGCAACTTAGTTGCTTTTCTACATAAGTTCAGATGGTGCTTTGACCCTGAACACATAGCATCAGTTGAAACAAATAAGCAGAAAACAAGATCCTAGAAAATAGCAAAAGCTTTCATGACAGCACTGGTACATAAATGCCGCTCTCCACACTCTGAGGAAGAGGCCAGATCACAGTCCAATGTATGGTAACTGTGCACAAACTGCTTTGACTATAACGGTTTATGCCTGCGTACATTTTCCAAATCTGGGGGGTTTAAACTTCACGATTCCCTTTCCAGTCACAGGGAGTTGTACAGCTAAGGCTTTGCACCTGGGTTTCCTTACTTTTTAGGCAAACTAGTCAATTTCTTTTCTGAGCCTGGCCTAAGGTGCAGAGAGAGACTAGAAAGAAAGCACCACTGAAATCATGTACCTGACATTTGTATTTTACTGTACATTTTCTCCTCCTCGTCAAGGTCATTCTGCTGTGAATAGAAATAAAATACATCCATAAAAATTAGAGAGTGGGCATTAAAAACTGAAGGTATTTCTGAAATTGAGTAGTCTTCGTTCAAGAAGTAGGCTTTGGCTATATCTGTGTACAAACTTTCATCAGTTTAACTAAAAATTGAGGTCATTTAAAAACAAAAAGTATTGAACTAAATCAATACAGAGTTCTAAACCACTTTAAGAATGTCTACACAGGTTTCCACCAGTTTAATTAGATCAATCTGAAGAAAATATTTTTAGTTCAACCGGTACAAGTTGTATGTGTATGGACCAGCCCCTTTGTGTTCCTTTCAAATGACTATTTCAAGGAAGTCTTTCACTGGTTTTTTCGATAAGTTTCAAGGGTTATCTAGTCCAATGTGTGCGCAAAGTGAGTAATACGGTAAATTGCACTCTATAGTCACTGGACGCACACATGTTGTCCAAGTGCATGCTCACACCATGCGTTTGGTGTCTCCATATGGGGGGGGGGGGAAGAAAGGATATGGAGAGCTGGTGATGATGTTAAATAAAAATGCTATATATACACACTCACCCTTCTATCCCCACTGAATGGGAAGCACCATTTATCCTAATAAATATAATACAAAGATCAGCCAATAAGAGTAGAATGCAATAAAATGTATCTTTTCAGATTAAAATTTGTTTTCATCAGGCAAAATTTTGAACTCTGTCTAGGTGTTATTTAATTTAATCTAATTTGAACAATTTCCAAACATCAGCTTGATTAATTTCAACAGCATGATGTTATGGAAAAATTTACTGTACTGGGGTTCTCTAGAAGAG